TAATTTATGCACTTGTGAAAAAGTTGATTCAAGGTTTCACTTTTGTTGTATTGCAAAGATGTGATTGTGTTTTGGAAATCATTTGATATTCTATTTATTCAAAGTAGAACTTCAAGTCAGCCAAAAGATATTAGTTGTGTAGGTAAGGAAATATAGAAACAAGAAATATACTCTCCTGAATATTATTTTAAATTGTGCGCAATATGCAATTTATTAATGTTACGTTACAAAGATTGTAAATAGTTTCGTTATTTACCCGCAATTTGTTATTGTAATTCAAGTCGTTGCTAAAATTGTTTTTTTAAGCTATGAATGTGTTGGTAATGAAAATAATACTAAAAAAAAACGAGAGAGAGAGAGAGAAAAAGAAGAAAGGAAGAGGACGAGTCGAAAACGGTACAACGAATCGTCTTGTTTCTCTAATATTTAATGAAACGTCAAAGCTTCCACGCTTTGCGCGGGAGCGGGGGGGGGGGGAACTGAATTCGGACAACGATTAAGAGACGAGAATGGTACAACGAATCGTCTTCTTTCTCTAATAATTTAATGAAACGTCAAAGCTTCTGCGCTTTGCGCGGGAGGGGGAACTGAATTCAGACAAGGATTAAGAGTAAAAAATGGTACAACGAATAGTCTTCTTTCTTTAATAATTTAATGAAACGTCAGAGCTTCAGCGCTACGCGCGAAGGAAGGGAAACTTGATTCAAACAAGGGTTAAGAGTCGAGAACTGTAAAACAAATCGCCTTCTTTCTCTAATAATTTAATGAAACGTCAAAGCTTCCGCGCATTGCGCGGGAAAGGGTGAGGAACTGAATTTAGACAAGGATTAAGAGTCAAGAACGGTACAACGAATCGTCTTCTTTCTTAAATAATTTAATGAAACGTCAGAGCTTCCGCGCTACGCGCGAAGGAAGGGGAACTTGATTCAAGCAAGGATTAAGAGTCGAGAACGGTACAATGAATCGTCTTCTTTCTCTAATAATTTAATGAAACATCAAAGCTTCCGCAAAGCTTACGCGGTTCGCGCGGGAGGAGAAAACTCCCCCTCCCTGCACCCACCCCCCCCCCCCTCCCTAGGGAGCGCGCTTCGCGTGCTCACTACCGCCCCCTAAAATAAAATCCTGGGTATGCGCTTGAGAGGGTAATAACCCAGGTAGCAAGCCAACGTGGGACCCACATGGGTCCCATTTTCTCTGAAATGTTATCTTTATTGAGGGTGACTTGAACAAGTTAATAACTTGGAAGAGAGGGGTGCAACCTGCCACACGCTTCTACCTCTTGGTTGCTTTGATCCATTGCCGAAAATATTTCGGCACCTATCATCCCCCCAACCACGGATACAAATCGACACCCCTGATTGTACATGAGACTTCAGCCTAAGAAAGCAAAAGCTTGAATTAGACTGGAGTCTGTTTATTAGCAGGCACGTAGCCACGGGGGGGGGGGGAGGGGGGCACGGGGGGGGGGGCAAGGGGGCACATGCCACCCAAATTTTTTCCAAGATCGGTTGAACTTTTTTAGAACTCTTTTTTTTTTTTTACCTCGATCGATTACATGTATGTGCCCCCCCCCCCCCCCCAACATTAAACTCTGGCTACGTGCCTGATTATTATAGGATTTCCCGGCGAAATTCGCGAGTTTGTCATTCGAATTCATTTACTTTGCATTTAAGTTAGCGCAGTTGGGCTATGCCATGCCAATTATCATTCAATTTTCCAGTTCAATTAACACCTGTCATTCGTATTCGAATTATGTTTATTCAAGTTAGGAATGTTTAAGAGGGAAGAAATGCAACACACGTTTACAGTTTTTAAAAAATGCAATTAAATGCATGATTTGCCATAATTAGGATCTTTTCTGTTATTCAATTATTAATTTTGAGGACAATGCATATTTGTGTAGTCAGAAATTAGGTAAAGGAGGGGCGAAATCAAGGGATATGGCATTTCTGCACGGACTGTGTTCATATACCCCGGAAAAGTAGGGATACACAAATACTAAGACAAATTAATTTAAATGATAAATTTGGCCGGAAAATCCTATAGTAATCATTCGATACAAAATATGTTTAATATGTGCTAACTACGAACTGGTCTATTGGGCAAATTTCATGCTCTTTTAAGTTGAACGTCCATATTTGATCTGCATCAGGCCTAAAAGAAGAAAAAAGAATAAGGATGAAGAAAATAGAAAAGAAAAATGTTAAAGAGCAGAAAAGAAGAGAAGACATAGATTTTCCAGGCCAATTTCGCAACATTTCAAATCCATTCAATCGAAATTGATTTGTCCCAGTCTTGCTATTCGAAAGTACAAAATCATTATCTGTGCATTTAGATTCGCGTTTGATTCAATCAAATTAACATGTTTCTCATTCAAATTCATGGTTTATGTACGCTTTTCGTCAAGCTTGCATACAATTTAGAATGACATGATCACGTAATCCTGCCCTTTTTACATTCAAACTAATTTTGAGCATCTAATTTAGCATTTAGTTCATTGAAATTACTTCAATTTCTTTAACTGTTCTCATCTTTCGTAATAATCGGGGATGGTGGGGGGGGGGGATGGGTAAGCACATTTAAAAAAAAAAAATTGGCCGGGGGGGGGGGCACGTCCCTGTTTGCCAGTAAATTTTTGGCGAATTTGGGGCTGATTTCTACATATTTTTTTTGGTCGGGGGGCACGTGCTCCCTGTGCCCCCACCCCGTGGATCCGCCACTGAATTTAACACCCAATTCTATATAATCTTTTTTTCTGCCGGGCGAGAACAATAGCGTGCTCAACCAATCAACGGGCCACTGGCTCGGGGCGGGCAGGCCGGCTGGACGGGGAATGTCATGGCGGCGTATCGTACGCATCCAAAATTCGCGGATATCGATCCCGTTGTCTCTGTTGAAATTAGGGACTTATAGATTTACACGACGAGAACGTGGACCTCTACGTGTGGTATCCCGTTAATGTGACGTCCTTAATAAGGCACTGCCGTCGTGTAAATCTGAAAGTCCCTAATAATGGGATTGAGACGGAAATTGATAGCTTCTATAACCCTCCGTGGGTACCGATGTCGTTGTTGGGAAAGGCATTGAACCCCGTCCCAGTCTGGCTGATGCTTGTTATCCCAAGCATGTTCGGCTACGACTGAGTTGTCAGTTGTCATTGCGAGACAAACGAATGTCACTAGCGATATCATTATTTTCGATACTATATCCGCAATGAGTAATTATCATTAGTTTAACCTTTGTTCACTTTTATTGATATTTTGATATATTTACACGCCATGGAATCTTATTCTGCTTCCGAAACAAAAAAATTGAGAAATTGGTCACAAGTCTTGCACATGCATTCTGAACACGCTGCACCTTGATTATTCGTAAATATGGCAAGCCAAACGATAGTCCATTACAATAACCAAGACTTTCTGTGCTTCTGTTTAAGTTTCTATACGAATGTAATGGAGATTGTATAAAAGGCAGATTTGCATGTGTAAGATGTGTGCTATAATGTAAGCGAGAATCAAGCCATACACCAAGATTTCTCACAGAGCTTGACGGTTTTACTTCTGATTCTCTAACTGTTAATATAATTGTGTAATTACCTAGTTTGTAACTTGTATGGATGTTTCACTAATGAGAAACTCCATCATCAGAACTGAAATAAATTTATAATTTTGTGTAATCGGTAAAAAAAAAAAAATGAGAAGAAACATTTGGGAAACGCCTTTGAATGATGTTGATCAGATTAATTGTAAAGAGTGTAAAAAGGAGGGGGCCGAGACGTGACCATTGAGGAACCCCATGTGACACATGCACAATTTTAGATATTACATTATCTAGTATTATTTGTTTATGGTCTGTTGGAATGATACGATTCAATTTATATATTAAAAACGATCCAGTTTATGTTACGTTAGTGACATGTGCTACACGTTACCGTAATTGCTTTTATCAAAAAATTTATAAAAATATAATCATTATCATCACCATAATCATAATCACAATTGTCATTATTACTATCTTTAATAATTCCATTAGCATCATTAACCTTTCTGTTGTTGTTATTTTTGTTCTTGTTCTCATTTCTTTATGCCATGTTAACATTTTTTTTATAAATACAGCCTAAAGACCAAAAGATCGGGGTAATGTGGAAGTTGCTGTTTGGTACCGTAATCTGTTTGTCCTTTGGTGAGAATAATTGGCTTATAAAATTACCATAATGAAACGAAATAGGAACGAGGTGTAAAATCTACGTGGAATCTCAAATAAATAGTTGGACGTTTGGAAAATGCCACCTAATGAATGTTTCAAACTATTTAAAGGGAAATTTCAATCATAAGGGGTAGGGGAGGGGAAGAATAAATAGGAGATGGGGAAGGGGAGGGAAGGAGAAATGTTAAGAGGTGACGGGGAGGAAGAGGAGGAGATTGAGGAGGAGGATGAGGAGGAGGAAGAGGAGGAGATTGAGGAGGAGGATGAGGAGGAATAGGAGAGAAAGGGAATGATACTAACGGGGGAGAGGAAGAGGTAGAAGCGGATGAGGTAGAAGAAGAAGAAAATGGGGGAGGAGGAGGGGAGGCGGTGAGGAGGAGGGAGGGCTGAGGAAGGGTAGGGGAGGTTAAAGTGGAGGGACAGCGGGAGAAGGAGGAGGAGGGGAGGCGGTGAGGAGGAGGGAGGGCTGAGGAAGGGGGAGGTAGAAGAGGAGGAACAGCGGGAAGAGGAGGAGGAAGAGGGTGGAAGAGGGAGGGCTGAGGAGGAGGGGAGGCGATGAGGAGGAGGGAGGGCTGAGGAAGGGGGAGGTAGAAGAGGAGGAACAGCGGGAAGAGAAGGAGGAGGGGAGGCAAGGGAGGATTGGGGAGGCGGTGAGGAGGAGGGGAGGCGGTGAGGGGGAGGGGAGGCGGTGACGATGAGGGAGGGCTGAGAAAGGGGGAGGTAGAAGAGGAGGGACAGCGGGAAGAGCAGGAGGAGGGGAGGCAAGGAGGAAGAGGAAGGATTGGGGAGGGGAATAGGAGGAGGGAGAGCAGTAGGAGGAAGAGCTCACTAGCGATTTTTTTTTTTTTAATTCCACACAGCCTTGCCCGCTTTATCGGATTCGTCGAAGCTGACGAAAAGATCTTGTCCAGGCGAGTTCAGCAAGCAAAGCACCTTGCCGACATCCTTTAATTGTAAGATGGTGCGACTGCCCGATGGCACCATGTTGCAGACCGTCCCAAAACTCTTCTCTACCCCTGCCGTCTTCGCTGGAAAAATTCCTGGCCAACACATAATATGCAGAATCCCGGGTAAATCTCATGCATCCTTTGTTTCATTTTTGTTATAAAATATCAAATCCCTTAAAAAAAAAACTAATCAATCAATAATAGTACAGATCATACATTTTTAATTGACATTTTAATATCGGATCCCACTATCATTAAAACTACTAACAATACTATACGAATACTACTAGAGGTCTACCACCACTACTACAGCTACTACAAATACAACTACTACGACTACTACTACTACTAAATGTTTACTACTATTACTACCACTACAATTACTACTACCACTGCAACTACTACTACTACTATTACTACTACTACTACTACTACTACTACTACTACTACTACTACTACTATAACTACCACTTTTACTACTGCTACTACTACTACTACTACAACTACTACTACTCCTTCGACTTCTACGAATTCTACTACTACTACTATTTGAAATTCCTCTCTAGATGTTTAGTCAAATCTATCGAAAATAATGAAAGGAACATCAAATTATCTAGCAAAACAATATTCTGATGCGAGACGAGCAACAATATTTGTGAATTAGTATTCACCAAATAATATTCTCGTTTTTCCCTTCGCTATCAAGTACCAGAATTTGAAAACAGTGTGAAATAATTATTATTTTCTCACTTGAATTAAGGTCTAAATGGATGTGCTTAAGTAATTGTTAAGTGCTAGAAAAACCAGTGGCAAACTTTGTGGTCTCGGTTTCAAATAATTTCTTTATTTTTAGGCCGCTTTTTCTATATCACGATTTCTTTTATTACAGTACAGGTATTTAGGAAGATCTAAAAAAGGCCAAGGTTGTACGACACTTGTTTCTGACGAAAATTGCTCCACGTTAATTTCTATTAGACACTAACCGCATTCTTGAAGGGGAATCCAAATCTTGTTGAATATTCATTTGTATGAAAGTAGAAAAGCAAGAGAAAAAGATTGGAAAAATAAATCGAATTAACTTTAAGGGAGTTATGAATGATTGAAATGAGATCACTAAATATATGCCAATCTCCAATTGATTGTGACATAGTCATGGATAACTTTCCCATTTGTCGTCGATAAAAATGGTTAATTTCTGTTTATTTTAATTGCAATCTCCCTTGGGGCAGTAGGCAAAATATATTTCGGAGAGCATATTTTTATCGGTTCGCTCAAATGGAAAGGCCCTCCAGAGTCAAACATTTGGAAAAATTAACATTTTAGTCATTTTGTGTGTTAAACAAAATTTCTTATTTTTTTATCCGATTCCATTCGAACTTTCACTAGTCTGCTTCTCTGATATTTCTGCTTTCTTTTAGAGTAGTTTTTTGTTGTTAATGATTGGGTTTTGTCTGTAACTGTAACAAACACTATACCTGACCCTAACTCTAATCCTAACCTTAAAGCCAATTGCAACTCTTACCTTAATCATAAACCTTTGCCAAAATAAAGCCAGGAACAATTAACGGGGGATTTAAAAAAAATAGTCGGCAAGGGCTGTGAATTACACCAGGCAAAACAGTGAATTAGAGAATGGGCACTGACACCAATGCAATGGGTATCCGATGGCTATGGAGTATGGTCTCCGTGGCGTTTGACATGTTTAAGCCCTGGTAAAAATGCATTATCATTAGTCTTGCTTATCTTTTTTATGTTAATTTGTGAAAATCCCGAAAATATATCTTTTCACACCAAACAGAACAAAGTGTAATGATAATTTGTTAATCAATATTGAGTTTTATCCCGTTTATTACTTATTTTGCAGATTGTGGCAAAAACCTCTGTAAAAACGGCTGGTGTGAGGAGACTATGGGAGGCTACAACTGTACCTGCTCAAGTGGGTTTCAAGGGAGACACTGCGATGAAAGTAGGTGTAATAATTATATAGGCGTATCGGGGGGGGGGGGAGGGAGTGGTCAATTTATTAACAAAGAGCGTGAAGAGACATTTTACAGGGTGTAAACAAAATATCCACATTTATTTATACTTGCATGCAGTTCGCTGTATCTTTCATCAGACATTGTACATACATTCTGCACTGCACCTCACCAGTACGGCAATACACGACGGTGGCCGGTGCTGCAACTGAAGAAGAAGAAAAAAGATGATGATGATTTAGAAGAAAATACCTCTTTTGGAATTTTTTGATAGAACTGACGGATTCCCGCGCGAAAAGTGTTTTCCGATTTCTATTTTTCTCCCCTCCTTGATCCTTTCCCCGTACCCTGACTAAGAGCGCCTGGAGATATTTCAATGAAAATAATGTTATGCATTGTCATTTACGTCAGTTATGTTTGTATGTTGTTGTTATTTTCAGTGATCATAGAGTCAACGAAGGAAGCAACGAATAAGCCTACGACGAACCCTACGACTACGATGACGGAACGCTCAGACACAACGACTTCCCAAACCATCACTACCTTTGGTATGTCTTGGCAATAGTAGCATGGAAATGACGTCATGCATTTTATCATTATCATAATGGGTCTAGCCACTATATACCCCTTTTTTCTCTCTCTCCCTCTCTCTCTCCCTCTCTCTTGGTCTTTACCTGACTCCATTTTTCAGTCCTTTCCTTTCTTTTCTCAGTGTTATATTGCTCTGGTTCAAAACATAACGAGCCAGAGCAAATAAAACTGAGTTCCTATAGGAAATCTATTTATTCAGATGGTCATATCTCAGCCAATACTTAACATGTTCAATTGGTTTTCGACATTTGGACATGCTCTTTCGGAAAATGAAGAAAAATTGGGGAGAAATTCCAAAAATAGATTTGTATGATGTCACAGCTTCGGTACTCTATTACTTCATTAAATAAATAGACTGATACAGTTCATATATTTCATGAAGCTCAAATTTCTTCGTCTGTACCCCATCCACAGTCAGTTCATATCAAGTTCTGATCGGGTAAATTTGCCATTTCCAGGCAGTTCAAGTCAGTCCGTAGTCAGTTTATACCCGTTTTTAACTAGTTCTACCTTGTTACCAATACAACCATACCCATTCTAACAAGTTCAGAGACAGTTCAGCTCGTCCTCATCTCGTACTTGGTGCGTTCGAACGCGCTCCTAGAGCGTGTGGAATCACATCCTGGCTCAAGGGTTATAAAACCCGAGCGCGTCATAGACATTATTTACAAATTCTACTCCGACCACAATCCGTTTTACGATTTTTTGGACGGTTCCAAAACGTAGTGAGAACTAGTTCGGTGTGATGGGGGCTTAACCGGCATGGCTTAAGTAATTTTAGATGAACTAAATTAGTCTCTTTCGTAGAAACACGTATAGAAAAAAACACAACTGTGGACCGGTACGGTATTTCTTGTTTTTTTTAAACGGTCGTTCATTTAAAAAATAAACACACATATATGAGTTAACGCTGTATAGCAGGCGACGAAGGGGGTTGGGGGGGGGGGGTTCAACAGCAGAGTTAGATGGTTTTCATTTTGAGGAATGCATCTTCTTCCAGAGGATAGTCCGGTCTGTCCAATAATTGAAAGGTTGCTCTTTGATAAACTAGAAATACTACTCATTCTGTGAAGAAGAAACAAAATGCAACGTTGCCCTTCCTGATGGCAAGATCTGTAGGTGCGCAGCTTTAATAGGAAACAAGGATGGAATAAACTTTGGTAAAATAAGTTCTGGTGAATTTCATAATTATGAATTGGTATACATATTGTTATCCTTTGAATTAATTCCAATTATACGCAAATTTTATGGCATTGCCTTTTTCAGAAGAGCGAAAATTTAATCAAAAAGAATCAACGCTTTTTGCAGTTTTCATTTATTTTTATTTTTATGGAAGGGGGGGGGGGGACGAGCGAAGGTTATACATTAATGATTATAACGAATGGCGTAATGTAGCTTTCAGATTTCTCAGAGCTTCCAGATATCTAATTTAAAAAAAAATCAATTTCATTGTTACATTACATGAGGGTGTCTCGAAAGAAATTTGTACTTCGTTGGATGATGTGTCTCTTGTCTTTTTATTCTTTTGCACTTCATTTGAATGTGTATGCTTTTTAATGTATTTTTTTATTTGTATTATTCATGCCTAGAATATAGAATACAAATAAATAATTGCTTGAATTCTTTAATGTTATTTATTTACTCCGAACGATGTTTTAAAGTTTAAAATATTGAGTTATGGAGTCCAGTTATATCAACTTCTTACATGCATATTATGTGGTGTAATTTCAGCGTGTGTATCGAACCCCTGTCAACATGGAGGAACCTGTGAGGAAACGGATGAGGGATTTAACTGCACTTGCCTGGATGGCTACTGTGGAGACAGATGCGAGTACGGTAAGAGGAGGAAACTAATTACATGAGAAAGGGAGAGATAAAAGAAACGGCGATATAGACAGAGAGAGAGAGAGAGAGAGAAAGAGCGACATATTATAGGCAAATAGAAACAGAGCCAGAGACAGATAAAGAGAAAGAGAGACAACAGAGTGAGCGATTGAGAGACAGAGGGAGAAACAGGGAGACAGAGAGCAGGACAGAGGCAGAGAAATAGAAAGAGAAAGAGAGAGGTGAACTAACTCCACAACAACAACCTCTGAAAATTAATAAATAATAAGTTCAAGAGATATTGTTTTAAGCTATTGGTCGTTGTTTTTTTTGTTTTTTTGTTTTGTTTTTTTGTTTTTTTTTGGGGGGGGGGGGGAGTATTGTGGTACGTGGTGGTATACTTTAATATTGGTGAAGGCTCCTTTTAATAACTCTCATATGAATGGTCCGGGGATCGATCCTTTGTCGGTGCTGATATTTTTGGAACAGAATCATTACGTTTTGTATTTTGGCTCATTTCATTGCATGAAGACTCCCTCGTCCAGTCCGTGAGACTAGTCGGTGGAAGTAAAAGTGAAGGAAGAGTAGTTATCACATCTCGTTCTCGCCCTACAACCTACATGTTAATCCATCAATTAAACTGGTCCAGGAACGCTTCACGGTTGGTCTGCATTTATCTAGGATATGAAGGTAAATCACTTTACAGTCCTGTATTCTGTTTGCTTATCTTCGTCAGTTAAATCCTTAAGCCACCATCACACCGAACTAGTTCTCAATACGTTCTGGAAAATGTTGCCAAACGGGCTCAAACTGTGTGCGAACTGAGTTGAACGTAGTAGCAACTGTTTACGAGCTGTTTAAGGACTTCATGGACGGGCTAAGGCTGGATATATGGGAGAGTGCTCCGGAACTTTGAGCCTGTTCAAAATTGTCCCCGTCCTGCAATTAGACGGAGTGACAACGTACTTAAACGAGGAGCCCGTCCATGAATTCTTAAACAGATCGTAATCAGTTGCTTCTACGTTCACTCCGTTCGCGCACAGTTTGACCACGATTGGTAACATTTTACAGAACGTTTTGAGAACTAGTTTGGTGTGATTGGGGCTTCACTTGAATGTCTTGATTTGCACAGCTAGAATCGTTGAAGTTGAACGGAAATACGGAATGGCAAGAACACGCTGGGGTTTTTATAACCCTTGAGCCAGGACGTGCTTCCACACGCTTGAGGAGCGCGTTCGAACGCGATGAGGACGAGAGGAACTGTCTCTGAACTTGTTAGAATGGGTTTGGTCGTATTGGGAACGAGTTAGAAGTAGTAAATAACGGGTATAAACTGACTACGGACTGGCTTGAACTGCCTGGAAATGGCAAATTTTACCCGATCTGAACTTGATATGAACTGACTGTGCACGGGGTACAGACGAGATGGACGTATTGAGGACTGTTTATGAACGAACTACGGGTCGTATTATAGACATTATTTACAAATTCAACTCCGACCACAATGCGTTTTACGATTTTCTAGAACGGTTCCAAAACGTAGTGAGAACTAGTTTGGTGTAATGGGGGCTTAATCACACCAAGGAGACCAAGTGCAGCGTTTCCGTCATTTTTTTCTTCTATTTATCCTCTTTCGAGGGATTTCATTTGTTCATATCATAAAATAACAGCTATTTACAACAGTGTGTATAATACAAAATTCATGTAATTGTAATATATCATATATAGTACAAAACATGAAACTAATGTGACATTATCACTATAACTAAGATAATGAAAACATTTGTGTAACTTCGTTTGTATCGAATTTCTTTTGATTACATTTCATATCGAGATAGGTGCGCATTTCTACCTTTAATTCTTTTATCAAATATACAGCATGTATCCTGTGCTTTTAACTTCCAAAGCATTCTCTAATATAGTTTCTATAGATAATAAACTGAGCGAAGTTTAAAATAAGATTGACAAGATTCATTTCTCTTTTCATGACCTATTAAAATAATTTTTTCGTTCAAAGATATTTTATATTATTTCCTTCATGTTCATGGCATCGTTTCACGAAACCGTCATAAATGCATTTTCGTCGATAACTTCTGAAACGCGTGGATGAATTTCAGATTAGAAAGGAATTTATACTTCACATACCTTCATATCACAAATATGATTAGAAATGGCTGTTAAATTTGGACCTACTGTCACGTTATATGTCTGTACAATTCAAAAACATCTGCCACCAAGACTGAGTAAATTCTCTACTTTTTCGATGATTCCATTACCTCAATGGGTATACATCCATTGTTGTGTACTACAAAATCCTTCTTGTTCCCAGACACTTTTTTAAATGATGTAATCTCATAATAATAAATAATAATAGTGGGTTCTTGTATAGCGCTCATGTCAGTCAGATTCGACCCTCCTGGCGCTCCCGATTATGACCAGAACACATCGATATCTTAGAGGAATTAAGACTATTGTATAATCCAGACAAATCATAATTAGGCTTAGAAGTGCAAATAAGTTTTTTTTCTCTAATTGATCTTTCCAATTATTTGTTCCTTCTGATTATATGCCAAAAGATGTATATGCGACAGTGGGAGGAGATCTCTTCGAGATTATTTCCTTAGATAATAATTCTGAGGCTGTGACTGTGAGATGCCCTGTTGATGTGACTAACATTACTGACTGCTGGTACGAAGAGAGGGCGGCGGTCAATCCTAGGGAGGAGAGTATAGCTGTTGTTTGCTGTACTGGTAAGTGTTTCAGAATAATGAGAATGTGTTGACCAGGAGATTTTTAAATAGATGGAGTCACAACATACAGATTGTTAGCCTAAGCTAATACGACATGAAACGGCAAACCAAAATTCGTTTTATTGCATAACTATGCCATATTTACCAACGATTGTATTTTACATACCAAAATATAAAGTCGTTTGGTTTCATTTCATACAGACATCCTTTACGATAACCAGATGAAATTTATGAAAAAAATCCAATTGACGAAAAGGTGTTGAAATACCCTTTTAATATAAAAGTAATTTATTTGGGATCCGTCAGAACTATTTCTAAAGAAATTCGTTATGTTGAAACTATGGAAATTCAAAAAGACTTTGACATTATTTACAACTGCACATTCATTTTCTGTGCTGGTTAATTTATGGAATTAGCTAGCTACGCAGTACAAACCTCTCTTAAGCTCTCTAATCTATAAAACTCTTCTGTGTAGTTTTGAAGCGTCAGACATTAGAAAATCAAGACACTCTGTTTGTTTTATTTGTACATCCTTATTGTTTTTCAACAGTGAACCTGTGTAGCACACCTCGAGGTAGCCCAGTCGGTCTAGAAAGCGGTTCTAGAAAGGTTCCCAACAGCGCTATTTCAATCTCGAGTAGGTATAATGATACATTGGGTGGACCAAACGCCCGTCTGAACAGTCCTTCTGCGTGGCTCCCCGATGTTGCTGACGAAGACCCCTGGCTTCAGATCGAATTCGCTTCAGCTTTTGTCATCACCGCCATCATGACGCAAGGCAGAGCAGATAGTCCAGAACAGTGGGTGACATCGTACATAGTTTCATCCAGTATGGACGGAGCATCTTGGACCTACTACCAGGATATCAACACCAACACGGTCAAGGTATTAACATGTGGTTTGCTTTCTTGGCCTCTCTGCAACACAGCGGGTTTGCAAAATTACCCTTGTCCGATCGTGATTAGCTCCAATAACAAGATTCCAAAACCGGTATAGATCTTGCCCAGGAAACAATTAAATAATCATGAAGCCTTTGGTATATCTATCCAATGATAAATACAATGTGACACAGGAAGATTATTTGTGTGGCATATAAGAGTTTAAATCTCAATGAAATAAATGATTATAATCAGTGGCGAAGTGTGAGCCCACATATTGAGAGGCACTGGCATAATTGGGGGAGGGCACCGGTCTAATTGGGGAAAATGATATGCTGATTTACAAGGCCACTGCTTAGGATGTGGTACTATTGTCTACGTTCCACATCCTTTTCCTATTTTTCTATTTGCTATAACACCTCTTTTTTATAATTTGCCTCTTTTTCTTTTTTCTTTGTAATTCGAAGGGGCACGTGCTCCCCCGTGTGCCCCCATACAGCCCCCATACAGTTATTCATAAATGACATCCCCTAGAATTCACTTCGTTATTAGATGTTTATTGTTCCACTCTCATATCAACTTATTATTTTAGAGAGAGAGAGAGAGAGAGAGATGGGGAGAGACGCGGAAGATATTACCCAGAAACACAGAAAATTACACAGAAAATAGGTTTTGTAAGGCGGAAGTTTTAAAAAAGTAGTTGAAATGTGCAAGCCCTATTTAAATTTAACTGCGGAAACAACAACATGTTTTTTTCTAAATCTTGTCGGTAAAAGTATATTTGTCCTAATCACAAATTGCTGCGTTTACGTTTAGTATAAAAACCTAACTGCCTAATAGTATGGCGAAAAAAAGAAAACACATGACGTGATGAGAATCTAAAATAAAAGAAAGAAAACTTATTAAAAGAAAACTTCATCCAAGTTTTCATTATTCGTTCACTTCAAATGACATTTTATTATCAAAAATTGTGTCAACCGACCATTTCAAAAGGAACATAATTGGTTTGATCATTATATATTCTACACTTCAAACCCAAGTTAATCTCATTGTGAAATGGTTGTATTATCTCGTTTAGGTCTACACAGGAAACTATGACCCAAATAGTCTTGTGGTGCACACCATCTGTAGGCCGATCGAATGCCGATTTTTTCGTATCCATCCAAAGACGGCCCATGTACACCGGGCCCTCAGGCTAGAACTCACTGGCTATGGACCTCTCAATGACTTATTAGGTGGGTAAGGCTGCATCCTTAAAAAGACCCAGGAGCAAAAGAAGGATTGGAATGTTAATAATATCTCCTTTTTCAAGCCAATCCAAAAGGTATTTGATGAAGCGCCTTTCCTTGCAGTTATAAAGTGCTGCAAACATTGATCCACATGTTTGGGCCACTTAAACAAGGACGTACCACTTTTTTAAAGCGCTCCTATCCGTCACGTAACGCTGTGACACTCACGGCGCTAGCTATTATTACCCTTGGTATAGCTGAGCTGATACACCAAAGTAACTAACGCTGAAAAAAAGATCAGGTACCCATTCACACCTGGGAATGTATAGATTAATGTTTTGCTAATAAGACACTTGTGTCGGGCAGGGAATCGAACTGCGGCCCCTGACATTTTCTGTCCGGGGGCTTATCCCACCACACTATGTCACTTAGTATCCATGTAGGTGATGTAATAGAGCGGTTTAAATAATCGGCTTGAGATGCGAAAATTGAGGATTCGATTAGCAAGAACGGCACTGACGACGCTAATACCTAGGCTAATCGTCAAATCGACTTCAAAACGACTCAAAACTTTAGACCGTGGGCCGAGCGCGATTTTCTTTCCAGTTCGTTGCATAGATTCCGGTACAAGATTTAGATAATGTTAATAAAAAGATAAAAATACACAAATCCCAAATCAGCTTATTCCTGCGAATGAATCCTTGTCGTTTGTATAAAACATAAGTTTAATTGACAAGTTATTTAAGAGAAATGTGCGTGAACGAGACCGCCAACTCTCCTTTCGTACACGTGTATAAACTCACCGTGCGACGAGAGTGAAACAGCACATTCTCCGTCTCCGTCGTACGAAGAAATTATGTAATCCATTTGAATATTTCCCAAAGCCAATCACATTTGCTGATGTAAATAATATGATTTTGCAAATATGAACTGCGAAAACTAATGAAAACCTCGTCAGGGTGAAAATATTTCGAAAATGAGGGGTCATAGCTACCATGAAACAGACGAGAAATAGCGCGTTGCCAATTTGATATTATTGTAAGGATCGTATGCAATTCTCTTGAATGTACACTGATCTGTGAAGAGATCAGTGGCTCCGTACTGACAAGCCTCGAGTAAGTTTTGTGTAATTAAAACTTTTGATGAAAAAAATTCTTGTATAAGCGATGCAATGGTAGTTTAAGAATAGGCCTACAGAATTAGATTCCCTAAATATTCATTGTAATTATAAAAAAAAGATATATGTCTTTTTTATTTCCAGCCCTGTAGTAGTTTTTACATGTTTTCAAATGTTTGAATTTTTTTAGAAGTTTTAGATGTTTTTTTTTTGGGGGGGGGGAGGGGGACACGCTTAATAAGGTTTACGGGATGTGGGTGACTTTTCTTTCCTGGAGGAAGAAATATGACAATGTTTATTCAAAATTACACTGCATTCACTGGCTTAAAAATTGATAACAGATACATGCTGAGGTATATATGTGAAGTGTACAGAATGATACTGTATAATTTTATGTCGTCTGGATTTTGAAATCATGTGATGTTATTATAGTTATACAGAATGTTTTCATACATGTTTGGTTTACAGAAATTTTATTTGTCAGGACTTATACATTTTTGACTAAACAAATGGTGACAAGGTTTTATATCCTTTTCCATGTTTTTTCCCCTCTTCCTGCCAGATCTGATTACCAGAAGCCGATACTAACAAGAAACACTCAATAATATTGTTTAATAAGTAAAATACACAGATTTAAGAGCATAATTTTCTGTTAGTTTTGTTATGTTTTGATGAACTGAATGCCCATCTACATGTATGTGCTAAGAACCATTTACTGGATGAGAATGTGAAATGAAAGATAAATGTCGGTATGTGAAGGTTTAGGCTTCCACTTAACCAAAAATAAATGAATATAAATAAATATATATATAAAGGTTTACGGGGATCCGGGACGGGAACCATGTGCCGCCGGAATGCGTGATTTTTTCACAAAAAATCACTTGACAAGGGTTAAGGTTTTGTAGGCCTAATTCAGATCGGATATTTTAGCTCATTTTTTCGCTGGAGTATACAAAAAAAAACTTTTAAATAATGGCCCCCGTTCTGCCTAAATGACCATTAAATATAGGTACGGGTTAGTTGTCGGCCTTATACATTTTGTCAGGACTTATGACATTTTTGACTGAACAAATGGTGACAAGGTGTCAGTTGTTAGCGGCACACCCCAGTCGGAACCAAAATGTCAGTACCCCCACCCCATGGCATAATTTGTTAACCAAAAATAAAATATTTTATAAAGGAAATGAAACCAATGAATTTATTAAAGATGAACATGAATAAATGATTGAAGAAATAAATTGTCACATGTCACCAAAAAACGTTTTAGTTCTACTCATTTTGTTTTTCTTTTTACTTTCCTGAAATGGTATATGGATCACTTCCGAAACACTTCAATGAATATACACTTCAATAAATTTATCATTTGGCAGCTGTGGATCCAAGGGGGGGGGGGGAGAGGCATCGAAGAAATTCACTGACGAGCAAGCCGAAAACATCAAGGATAAGCCCGACATAAAAGGTCCTTGGCCTTTTCAGGTGTTTAATGAATTTTCCCGGCCCATCCCCTTTGGAGGAGGATTTTTTTTCTTCAAATGAATGTCTCATATATACAAGTATATTTATATATTTTGGGTTAAGTGGAAGCTTTTGCATACTGACATTTATCTTCCATTTCACATTCTCATCCAGTAAATGGTTCTTCACACATTCATGTAGATGGGCATTCCGTTCATCAAAACATAACAAAACGAACTATAATAACATCACGTGATTTCAAAATCCAGACGACATAAAATTATACATCATCATTCTGTACACTTCACATATAATACCTCAGCATGTATTTGTTATCAATTTTTAAGCCAGTGAATGCAGTGTAATTTTGAATAAACATTGTCATTTGTCTTCCTCCAGGAAAGAAAAGTCACCCACATCCTGTATACCTTATTAAGGGTGTCCCCCCCCCCCCCCCAAAAAAAAAAAAAAAAAAAAAAAAAAATCAAACATTTGAAAACATGTAAAAACTACTACAGGACTGGAAATACAAAAAGACATATATCTTTTTTTATAATTACAATGAATATTTAGGGACTCTAATTCTGTAGGCCTATTCTCAAACTACCATTGCATTGCTAATACAAGAAATGTTTTCATCAAAAGTTTTAATTACACAAAACTTACTCGAGTCTTGTCAGTACGGAGCCACTGATCTCTTCACAGATCAGTGTACATTCAAGAGAATTGCATACGATCCTTACAATAATATCAAATTGGCAACGCGCTATTTCTCGTCTGTTTCATGGTAGCTATGACCGCTTATTTTCGAAATATTTTCACCCTGACGAGGTTTTCATTAGTTTTCGCAGTTCATATTTGCAAAATCATATTATTCACATCAGCAAATGTGATTGGCTTTGTGAAATATTCGAATGGATTACATAATTTCTTCGTACGACGGAGACGGAGAATGTGCTGTTTCACTCTCGTCGCACGGTGAGTTTATACCAACGAACTCAAACCAAGTAGAAGGATTGTGTCCGTTCACGTTTCACGCAGCGCAATGGCACCGCTCGAGTGCGCCCGCCGCCATTTTGCGTAGTACAAGAAATCGCCTGCGCATACGTATTGTGTACAAGCTCCTATTGCAATTGGAGGAAGGGACGTCCAGAAACCAGGGTTTTATTGTTATTTTTGTTAAAAAATATCTTTACATATATTGTTTATGCCCTTTTCCAAGTCCCATACAGATGTTTGATGACTTGAATATTGGAATAAGAGCGGCAGCTTGGACAGTAGGGGAGTTGAAATTTTAGGGGTTTTCATAAAGACTAAAAGAGCTAGACTGTTAAATATCATTTGTGGTATTAGGCTAGTTTTGTCTCTTTCTGTGATAGAAAGAATATATCAAATTATTTAGGCTCTATCTATATAAATCACTCCCACTTTCTCTTTACACACACTCGTAAATTCTCAGTCTTTGTGTTTCTCTTCCCACTCCCCCTCTCTCTATCCCCTTCTCTCCCTCCCTCTCTTTTTCTTTCACACTCCCCCTCTCCCCTTCTTTCTCTCTACCCCTTTCTCTAGTCCCTCTCTCTTTCTCTCTATCCCCTTCTCTCTCTCCCTCTCTTTTTCTTTCACTCTCCCTTTCTTTCTCTCTTTCTCTCTATCCCCTTCTCTTTTTCTCTCCCCTTTTTCTTTCACTCTCCCCCTCTCTCTTTTTGTCTCTCTCCCCTCTCTCTTTCTCTATCCCTTTGATTCTTGGCACTGCAGAAGTAGGCCCACTGAATATTAATATTATTTCTTTTCTTTCCCTTGGGAGGCTACCATTTAGCTGCCAGATATTATTTTCATCCCATATAGGCATATTAAAGATTTGTCTAAGAAGTGTTAAGTAATGACACATTGTGGCAACTATTCACATGTCTTTCCACATAATTGTGAATACTTTCATCTTTATTAAGTTTTTTTTTAACCTTGGCATTGCGCTATGTATTACATGAATGTTTACAGTACATATCAAAACATCCATGAACTATTGCAATGGTGGATATGAAGGAAAAAAAATCCTCAATGGTGTGGAAAAAACGTTCCTCAAGCAAGCAATCATGGCACATTATGTTTATACCGGCACATTTCTTATTCATTTTAACACACAGAGAAATATTCACATGTACATTGCATTTGACTGACTACAATGTACAAAAGGCAAGATTTTCTCCCTTTTAGCAATCAAAACTTGAACATACTTCATTAAAAAACTAGACATCAACAAGATATAATACATATGAATCAGTATTTCCCTCTCTTTGGTTTGTTCATGAAGCAATGTAATATGGATTCATCTGATTTCAGTGAAAACTTTTAAAACAGATTTTTACTCTAGATGAAAGTTGCAACTTTCATTTAGCTCAAGCTCTTTCAGTTGGTAAACATGGATACAACCATTGCAACTACAAATATTTCAAAATGTATAAGTCTTTAAAGATATACATGTACCAGAATAATGGGAGCTTCGCAAAATATTGCCTTGTGTTTTTTTTTGTCTTGATTTGTATTTCAAGTGCTGTGCTTTACTAGGCCATATGAAATCACTACATAATCTACACATATTCATCTGAGGAGTAAGTTTTAGAGGATGTAGGAAGGTTCATGCAGGTAGCTTCTTTAACTGCCATGACTGACAGGTCGTAACTTTCACAATGACCAACTTTGATGAGTAAAATTTCTTGTGTTTTACAACAATTTAGGCTAAATGTCCAAAATTAAGGTGTAAATTTTGAGTAAATTCCAGTAAATTTCTTACAATAATGCTTGAAAGTCTGACGACTCACGGGAAATTGTGTCACTATTAATACCAGCGCCGCGATGCAACATGTTCATAAGTTCAAGTTAATCTTCAAAGTAACTTGAACCAAGTTTCACCAAGTCAAACAAAGAAAGTGACCTGCTTATGCCCCAATGATCCCCCCCCCCAAAAAAAAAAACAGTACAGTATTCTCTGGATATCATGTATTCGATATTATCGGTTTATAATACTTTGCAGCTCTGTGGAATTCAATATTTTTGATAGTTCATAGCCGATGTCATTGAACTCGAGCGAAAACAGTTCACAAACATGGAAATGAATAGATGGGACCGATGTACAAATACACGCTTTAGTCTGTGGCTTCATGCGTTCGGATTATCATGCAAAACTGTTTATTTTTGCCATGTTTTTAAAGAAGTGATCACTTAACTATGAAAGGTTATTCCAGAGCCTCTTTTAAGGCGATTGGTGCAGTTGAAAGCTGCACAATATGGCATTTTGCAGACGAAAGTTGAGCATACACATAGCACGTAGTCGCAGTACGCTTTCACAACGCTCGTTCTATCCAAGATGGCGCACGGCGGTGCAATTCAGCGGTCTCGGAAAATCCTTCTACTTACTTGGATTTCGATGGTTTATACACGTGTACGAACGGAGAGTTGGCGGTCTCGTTCACGCACATTTCTCTTAAATAACTTGTCAATGAAACTTATGTTTTATACGAACGACAAGAATTCATTCGCAGGAATAAGCTGATTTGGGACTTGTGTATTTTTATCCTAATTTCTGGTTACCAAAAACTATGTACCACAAAGTCAGTCCAAAAAAAGAAAACTAAGCCCTAAAATCGCGCTCGGCCCACGGTCTACTTGGGGCCATTCGTATTTTCTTGTTCGTTCTGTTGTTAAGAGGTGGTATTCTAAAAGTTCACTTGTGTTCATTTCCAGTTTGCTATTATGCACGCCTGTAGTGTGTTTGCAATAGTGGAACTTAAATGAGTTCAAAAAGTTTTGGTTTTCTGAAAAACTCTATAAGCAACTAACTTCTAAACAAAAAAGACCTAATAGATCTCTTTTATACACTGACAACGTTTGTCTGTACGTTTGTTGTCTTCAGCTGCGATGAACCAGGAAGAGGTTAGCTGTTCATGTCCTATCCGAGGGGAAGGAATGGGAGTGGAAGATGGACGAATCCCAGACTCCAGTCTCACCTCCTCGTCCGATTTTGATTATCTTCACACTGCATCAGATGGAAGATTGAACGGCGGAGTTGCTGTACACGAAAAGACAGCATGGCTTGCCAAGGATAGTGACACGGATAAATGGGTCAAGGTGAGTCCGATAACACAAATTATAATAGTGATCCCCCTGGAAAGCAAATTCATCATAAATGCCGTTCTTTGTAAATTCTAGCACTATCTAACTCCAATATTAACGGTAACGTAAAGTCCAAATGAAACCCTCACTCGAACCCTAAAGATGGTATTAATCATTGATGATTTATATTACCTCGCCCTACTGCTTTGAAAGCAAGTATTTACTTGGTAATTATCTACCTACTTCTAATTAAAAAAATCGCATTGCCTTGAACAGTTGGAAACCCTCTATTACAGATATTATGTCCCTTTTGCAGCCAACATGAAATGTATATAGCTTTGCAGGAATTATAAATTTGTTTAAATAAGTATGTCCTATCTGTGAAATTTAAACGTTAGCTGTGTCCTAGTATTCAATTTATTCAAGGAAACCCGTTTACTTTCTGGACTGCACTGTCAGACACTATTGGTGACTAATTGTCATCTTTTTTAATTTGGTAATAACATACATAAAATGAGCTGTAACAGGTACATGAGCATTTGTCTACATCAATAACCCACTACTTGCATTGGCCAAAATTAAACTGATTAAATCTTTGTGCAGCACAACACGTACGACCATTCGGTATAAGGGTCTGAAAATCAGACTATTAGTAAGGTGATTACAACTTGCTAGGCCGTCTCTTTCCAAAATTATTAATTTATTGAATTTTCTCCAAAAAAAAATAAATATATATATATAATAAGCAGAAGGAAAGGGGATGGAAAGAGAAAGACTCCTAAAAAAGTCATTTATGACATGAAATTGTACATATGTATATATATATATAAATAATTCATAAAATAGTGTGTGGCAAAAATAGTCAACTGTGACTGATTGCCAAACAAAATCAAATCAAGAAGAAGAAGTAGCAATCACTTATGTCAATTCGACAACTAATGATCGTTATTTACCCACAAAAAGCCATTTTCAAACTCTTTCGTTTTGAGGGAAGTTCTAAATAAGTATTGTCTTTCAAATGGAATTTAACCTTTTCATTTTTTGACCTGCAAATGGGATATCGTATATTTAAAGACCGTTAATACTACTGGGTCAGAAGGGATAAGACCACACAGCGAGGTCACTGACAGGTGGCTATCTCATTAACTCAGCTCTCAACTAACATAAGCAAAAGGGTATCATGGGGGACCAACAGGCTCCGATTTGGGAAGTTTTCTATATAGAGGGAGCAAGTAGCTACAAGTAGGACAGTGGGGCTTTAAAGAATTTTTCTACTCTTTTTTTTTTATCCGGATCACTTAATAAAGATGTATATATGGAATTTCAAAATTGCGAAAGTTGCGAACTAATATAAACCATGGGATTTAGAGCATGAAACCTCTTTTTCTTCAAATTTGTTTTCGTCGTCATGTCATACACAACACACACACGCGCACATACACACCCACACATACATACACGCACACACATGTATATGTATATGTATATTATAAATATATATTACGACTTGGCACGTATTCAATCTCGAAGCTAGGATCCAACTGAGGTACGTGGCTTATCATCGTTTAACTCATCTGCTTTCCACCCACCCGACAAAGGATCAATAAAGATTTAACATTCGACAAACTGTCAGGCAATGTAATTTTCTTTCGCCGAAACTACTTGCCCGTCCTCTTGGTCTAGTTGTTAAGCAGCATTGTTGTTCTAAATCTATCACAAAAGGAAGGACAGCAATGGGAAACTTTGATAGAGCTACGCGCCTGCATTAATTACAAATGTGTATTTATTTCCAACAGAGTTGCCAATTTTTTGCGTTGTCAAAGTTATTTCATAATATGCATATATATTTATTTATTTATCAGTTTAACTTTTTGCTAAGTCCTATTTCTATTAATGCATTGATGAGTCAGATAGATCTTGGAAAGACCTCTACCGTCACTGGTGTTATCGTACAAGGCAGATGGGGGTGGGAACAATGGATTACTTCTGTCAAGGTATCCTATTCGCTGGATGACGTGACATGGCCTTATGCTTTGGGACCACAATGTGGTGAACAAAAAGTGAGTACTAGAATTATGTATTTCAGACCCAACTTGGGAGAACTGAGCACATGTCATTTAGACTATGTACAGTATATAGCCCTTATCGTTCAGTGCGAGACTGTGTGTGCAAAAGGGATCGGGAAATATTGCACCGTCGACCTGTTGTTGATGTATATTAAAGGCGTTGTTTAACAATGTTTCCAGTTTTACAAATCTGAGATGCATGGCCCTACGTGTTATCAGTGTCTGTGATATGGTGTAATAGTGAAGCCCTAAAAAAAAAATAGCGATTCAAAATGATCATATAGATATAGTGCGTCAAAAAAGTAAAAATCTTTGAGTGACCGGTTTTAACATACTCATTTTCCCCAATACTTTTGTTCACAGCTGTTTGGCAAACAGTTGTTGACATTTCTAATTCCAATCATAAATATCATGAAAATCAGACAGGCGATTGGCTTATAAAAGTCATGGGATTCCTGACTGACATAAAGGCTTATAACTATGATTGCAGCATGAGCTAAATCCAGGATTCTTTTTGGAAATCTTAGGCAAAGATACCAAATCCCTAGAGAATTATGCTGTGGATATGTCTATTCCGAAGCGTTGGTCATTAAAATAAAATTTTATTATATGACGAATCGTTAAAGGACTAATAACCAACAGCATTTTTCTTAAAGCACAAATAAAGTGCATGTTAACTTAGCAAGATTTCCCCATGCCTTTCGTACAGACTGCCTCGCATTGAACTTTAAAGAGTCTATATTCATCGTGCATTATACGCCGTTCTCGGCATATTTACCTGTGCTCGGTTTTCCAAAATTATGTCTGACTGTATAAATGATATTAAATTTTCAGGACATCTCAGTGGAATGGCATCCACGAGACCAAAAGTTCCTAAACAGCCATATCCCATAAGGCATCATAAACTGATGACGCGCAGGTGATTTTGTTGTTGTTGATGCTTGCGTATAGGAACGCCTTCACCGAATGATGGCGCAATTGAAAATACACTACAACAGTGATAGGAAAGCCCATAAAATAACCAGCTTCTAATAAACACAAGTGCAATATTATAAAAAATGTTGAAGAAGATAAGTTTAATATCTGGATAAGAAAAGAAAAGAAAAGCGAAAACAAACATTTGAACAGACATGAGGAGAAGGTGAAAGAAACATTTAAAGAAATACAAATACAAAAGGAAAGCTCGAGAAGAACTTTAGAGAAAGAGATTGAAGAAAGATACAAGGAAAGGAAGTGGAGATAAGATTTTTAAAAAATTAACCGAAAAAATGCAGAGGAGAAGGTCGAAATCAGACTTTTAATGTTTCACCCGTGGGCCTTTGGCCTTTAGTGTCGTAGCCGCAATTTGTTTGTGAATTTTTTTTGTAGAATTGTTTGTAACTGAAAACCTTAAATTTTTCTTTAAACATGGCAATGGCAGCTTACTTGTTAAAGTTTGTAGATGCGACATTTAAAAATGAATGATGGTTGATAATTAACAGCCTAAGTAGAATTGTAACAATTCACAAGCAGCTTTTATTGCTGGTGTTGTTTTGAATCTTATATGCCACCACCCCCTACCCTCCCTGTATACAAAAACACTTATTCAACGATCTTGCTAATAATTTTACACTGTTGTTGCCTATTCGGGCAGCGAGATTGTTTTATTGGAAAAACATCTATTGTTTTGTTTTATCTAATGTGTTTCGAGGCAAAACTGCATCAGATTGATAAATGTCAGAATCGAATTTGCTTGATCATTTCGCAATTCAGAAAGTCAACGATAAAGTTGATATTTTGGTAAAAGAGGCCACCCCTCCCCTTGGAGACGTTGTGACTATTCGCAAGTATTCCGTCGTACATGTAAATGTCATCATATCCGATACTTATACCAAGCTTACATTGGCATCGTTTTTACCCAATTATATCAAGTGTATTCTATATAACAACTCATGTATTTGTATTTCTAATTTTATTTTACTTTGTGAGTTCACATTTGCAATTGAACTTATGCCGCGAAAGATATTGTGTTATATTTTTTTTTTTTAATTGAACTGAAAAATTCATACAACGTCCTTAAAATGATAATTTCTTCCTCTTAATCTTCAGATCTACGCAGCAAACTACGATCGCAGCACTCCCGAGACCATACTGTTCCCTCGACCAATCACTGCTCGATACGTCAGAATACACCCACTCACGTGGATTTGGCACCAGGGCATGAGATATGAAATTCTTGGCATACCTGAATAAACGGAAGTTTTACAGCATGTAGACTTCTACTACATTTTAAGGGTGTTATGTTTTAAAACTATGTTGTTTAATTAATATCATCATTAATATTATTACTATTATCATAATAATATTATCATTATTCATAAGTATTATTATCATCCTCATCATGCTTATTAATACCGGAGTGTTGGCTCAGTCAGTAGAGCGTCCGCCTCACAACCGGGAGGTCGTGGGTTCGAACCCCGGCCGCGTCATACCAAAAGCCGTTAAAAGATGTGAGTTGTTGCTACCTTGTTAAGCGTTCAACAATAAGGGATAGAGCAACGTCGATCTGGCGCTGCTCAGTGGCTGCCGGGCTCACGATCAATTGGGCAAGAAGAATTTCCGTTTCGATTTAATAAAATTTGGAGTGGACTATTATTATCATTGTTATAATTCATTACTCTGTTATTATATATTATTGTTATTATCATTTTATTATTATTATTATCAATAATATAATTATCCTTATCATTATTATAATTTTTTTTAATTGCTATTACATTTTGAAAAGTAGGAGTATTTTCTAATATTGCTAGTAGAGTATAAACACATCGTTGAGGTGTTGTGGTTTGTTGGCTAGGCCTCCAGACTTGAATCACAAGGTACGGGGTTCGAATCCCTGTCACAGCACAAGTGTCCTTTGGCAAGACATTAGTTTTACATTATTTTGCCACTGACCCAGGTGAAGTAAATGGATACCCGGTATGAATTAGTTCATTAACGGGATTGGGTAACTTTGTTTCAGATTATATAATAATAATAATGATTTACATGTATAAGTAAAAGTTCAAGTCTTGTTGTTTGACCTCATAATTTCTAACTTTTTTCATTTGCATTGCTGCTAATCTTTACACTATTAATATATGTTGACTTTGCAATATATAGAGATACGAACAAATATGAGATTAGTAGATTATTGATTGGTTTTCTTCTTTTCCTTTTTATTCTTTTATTTTTGGTATTTTTTTTACATTATTAATCTCGCTGAAATTTAGTATTGTAAAAAGCTTTACTTATTGTTATCCCATGCTCACTGTCTCCCACAAGGTTGGATTTGGGAATAGGATCGTACTGTACATAAACAATATATATATATATGTATATATATATTGTTGTACTATCATTGTGTTTTTATGTTGCTTTTTCCTTTAAAGGTACTATGTCACATTTGCAGGCCAATATTAAAGGTGAAAAGGTTAAATTCCAACGGCATTTGAAAGACAATACTAGTTTAGAACTGCCCTTAAAAAAAAGGGGGAGGGGAGGGCTCGAAAATGTCTTTAAGTGGGAAAATAACGAATATAAGTTGTCGAATCGACCATATGGAAACGTTGTATCATCCACTCAATCTGACTTGCGTGCATAGAACAAATAAACATTTTTTTTCATGGAAAAGTGAAGTTTTCTAAAATGTGCGTTTCTTTCCGGCACTGGGGGGGGGGGGGGGGGGGGGCCGGGAGTCACTCGGGTAACATTTCATAAAGTATAATATAAAAAGACCATATGCAAATTTTCTGTACTTTTGTCAGGAAAAAATATATTTATCCGGCACAATGTCGTCTCTTTTTGCGTTGGAGAAGAGCAAATAGCGAGTTTCCATCACACTTTGGCCGCTCTCGCAAGCTCTCACTCATTTCACTGTGGTCAAACGACTTTGGGGCAAGCAGTTAAAGAAAATACTAATCGTTAGCTTTCTTCTGGTATTAAACTTGTTTTAATTGATCGTATACTTTTGTCGGAATAAAGGAAACAAAGAGGCTTGACCAATAACTTATCAGCGTCTGAATTGACCTTTTGACCTTAATAATAATAATAATATTGGCATTTATATAGCGCTCTTACAGACATACATGTGTATCACAGCGCTTTACAACATATTATTATTACCCCGGTCATCGGATTCAGGCTTACCCGCACACAAGGTATGCACATTCTCCACTCCCTGGGGAGCATTCCAGCCAGTCGCCATTTTACAAGCGCCACTTGCTAATCAAACCACATTAGCTTTCGCATCCTACTGGGTACCCATTTTAACACCTGGGTGGAGAGTGGCAAATGTAGATCAATGTCTTGCCAAAGGACATTAGGACCTTGAATTCCCTGTTGCAAGCGCACACAAACAAGTTCTAATGACGTCATCTTCGCTACATCGATGTCTTTTTATCGTAATATGCTACACTTTCACAATGTTTATACATCTTTTTTAGGTATTAGTAAAATGTAACATATTTTGTCTGATATCACTGAAGTTTTGGGTTTTATTTAATGAGTAATTTAAAAATAAGAGCCATTTTACTGTTTTAATTTACTGGATCGTGCCGTTAAAGGTACTATGTCCCTTTTGCAGCCAACCTCAAATTCTGTGGAACTTTGCAGGAATTATTAATATGTCATGTATGTCCTATCTGTGAAATGTAAACGTTAGCAGTGTTCTCATATTCAAATTATGCAAGGAAACCAGTTTTCTTGCTAGACTTCACTGTCAGACACTATTGAGTGACTGACTGGCTTTTTTTTCTTCTTTGGTAATAACATACATGAAAAGAGTTGTAAAGGGTACATGAGCATTTTTCTACATCAATAACCCACTTCTTGTGATGGCCAAGATTAAACTGATTGAATCTTTGCGCAGCATAAAACGTATGCTATCGTTCGCTAAGTGTGCGTGTGTGTGTTCGCTAAGTGTGCGTCATCATTCGTTACTCGTTCCTAGAGGGCGCTGGACCAACGCTGGACCAAAGAGATTCGATCATACAAAAAATCCCGACGCACACAGCGAATGACGACGAATGGATTTTTCTCGATTTTAAACGCGCCGGCCGTGCGTCGTCTATGTGTGACCGGGCCATAAGGTAAAACAAATATGGTTTTGGTGTCAAAATCTCAAGTAAGACGCTTGTTTATAAATTATTAACTATACGCTGTATCCCAGAAAAGATGAAACTCGAAACAAATAGATCATATGAATATCAATGAGGTGTATCATAAAGCAGGGCTCCCACTTAGCCGAGTTGGAACCTCGAGTTGTGGCGAGCTGGCGCGATCTAATGGCAAACCGTTTTATCATTAAAACATATTTCTTGATATCAAGAATTCAATTCTTAATATCACGAAATCGAATTCTTGATATTAAGAATTACCATTGCTTTGCAACATAAATTTATTTCTTGATAACAAGAATTGATTTATTGATATCAATTAATAATAAAACGGCTTGCCATAAGATCACGCAAGCTCGTCACAACTCGAGGTTCCAACTCGGCTAAGTGGGAGCCCTGCTTAAGATGCCTTGCTTCCATAGAAAAGAAGTAATATGCTTTCCAATGATACATTGATTACATTAATCTGTACACGCTTCACTGAGCAACATTGTTTCTGAAATGCCACGTCAACATCCACTTATGCCAGATTTGTGTGAAAGAGTAAGACCGTTAGTATCAAACACGAACATGACCGATCATGACCTAAAAGACACACATATTTTTAAAGCGAATGAGAAGATTATTTTATCGAGCTTTATTAATAATGAAGGCAAGATTAATGCCATCTTTATCATAAAATAATGCATTGTGGAAATATTGTCGATGGTGAGGATACGAGGTTATATTTTAGTTCGTGAATGGGCAATTGTAATGAACAGTGTTTTTGCAATTTCAGAACTGCCATAGGTTTTTAAAAGAGCAGGTTAAACGATATTAAAACAACAAGAAACAATTTGATGGGCGCTTTATATTTTGATAATAATATTAATCGTACGAGTGTTGTTGATTTTATTATTTTTATCATTATTATCATTATTATTTGTATTATTATCATGACTATTGCTAGGACTATAACTGTTATTTTTCAAACTAATGGTAATATTTGCCGTAAGTAAAGCTGATGTTAAAGTTAATCTTGAAACAATGGTGTTGCCCATTTTACAGGATGATTTATTATCTAAAGTCATTGAAATAGTAGTATTAGTGAATAAATGTTTGTTTGACGTGCAATAATCTACTTTCAGTTACTATCCTGTCAATTGTGTTTGTTTGAGTAAGAAGAAGAGAGATACACGGTACATAAGAAAGAGTGGAGAGGAGAAATTGAGAGAAGTTGTAAACAAAGAAATGTATAATTTAGAAAGAGAACTCGAAAGGAAGAGATAAAGAGTGAAAGAATGTGAGGAGATATTGATTTAAAATGAAAGAAATTTGTCATGAAAGAGATGTATAATAGTGATATAATTTGAAAGGAAGACTCAGATCAAGATTGCAACAATATGAGAAGGTTATAAAGGAAGAGAATCTGTGAATGAAAGGGAGTGAGATCATTTAAAAGAGAGAGAATTTGTGAATGAAAGGGAGTGAGATGATTTAAAAGAGAGGAAAACAAAAGAGTGAGAGAATGTGAGAAGATATTAAAGTAAGAGATTTTTAAGACATAGAAATTTAAAAAGGTAAATGGATTTGAATGGAAGAAAAAAAGATTGTAAACAGATTGGAAGAAGATGATAACGGGAGAGACATTTTATTTTTTTAAATTTCTTTTACACAAGATTAAGTGGTATAAATGATTGAGAGAATTTGAATAGACGTGATGTATATATAGACTGAGATAATGTGCGGATATAAAAATGAAATTAAAGAACTTCTTTTATCACGTTATATACAACCCAGCATTGGGAAAGGGTAATTAGTATTTTCTACCATGAACGGAAAGAACAGATGAAAGAAGCTTTATACCTACGATTAGTCTCACTAGACAGCGCCTCCTATTGGCGAAGTCCCACACCATAACGTGTTAGCTTACTGACTTGTACAAAACCAATCATTAATTTTATTTTTTTATTTTTTTAAAACGAAAATCACATCAAATTCCTTTTAATTGGAAACCTCAGCTTCGTTAAAATAGATCACCAGCTATATATTGCCATTATAACGCATGTGTGACGAGTTTAATGATATGAATAAGTTTTTTGGGGTTAATATTCAAGA